GTGCAAAGGAATATTGTGAAAGTGGTTAAAGCTTTAAATGAGTTATTATTCCCTTTTGGTTCTTAAACGATGATAACGATGGAAACCTAATCGCAGCAGCACACTGAAAATGGAAGCTATGTAATCTACGTATACAAACACAAACGTATATAGCCAAGATAAACCACATATACTGATTGCATTGTCGGGTTTGAGTTTTAGTGTCACCATCCAAATAAATTGGTTTTAGTTGTGCAATAATTATAGCATGTAAAGTGTAGTGGTGGAATAACTTAAAGGAATAACGTCAAAATTAGCCCATAGGCCCTTATTCTTTTTTTTTGGGAAGTATTTTGGCCCAACATTTTATTCTGAGGCAAAAAGATCATTCCGTAGATGAAAATCATTAGTTAAAAAGTGGTTAATGTTCTAAAATAGGGCCTTTTTTATCCTAACATGAAACATTGGGGGGTAAAATATTTGAGGAAAAAATAATAAAGGCCAAAGTAACTATTCGATCAAACGTTAGGAGTTTTCTTACCCTAAAATAAAACATTCAAGCTAAAATGCTAAAAAAAAAAGTGACCAAAATATTCGTTTTAATAAACGTTGGGAGATAACTTCAATATTATGCCTAACTCAAATGAAAACATTTCTTTAACAATAATAACTAAAACCAAAGTTTTTCAACTTGAATGATGGAAATACAAGCATCCTAAAAGTTAAACGACTATGAACATAGTTTACCCAAATTATTTCCCCCATAGCTCATAGGAATAGTGAATAATCAGAAGAAAAATGCACGAATTACAATGTATGTATTTGGGTGTTTGTGAAAAGGGGAAGTGAAGAATTCAAAAGGCGCAGAAACCGACAGCGCTACAAGAGCCGGTTAGAAGCTACACCTTAACCCCATCTCTGAAATACAATCAATACTGCCCCCCCCCCCCAGTGAATCCGAAAATAGTAGAAGTCAGTATTCAACAAGAAAACCAAAATGGTAAAGACATAATGTTGAGCTGTCCGATGCTCAGTGTTCCTTTCACTACAAACAAGGGGGGGGGGGGGGAGAGAAGAGATAAACTTTGTCATGTTTGGCCAAATTGCTAAAAGCAGATCCAGCAGCTTCAATCAATTAATGAGATGCTGGTTTTGTACACACAACACAATCATGTTTGAGTAGTAAATGAGCAATGCCGCCATCTTCAAGCTTTGTTCTAAAAAAAACTCTACCTTCTTGTGTTTTGGGTCAAATTTTATCTTCTTTCATGTAATCATATTTAAATGGTTGGCGTTTCATATTAGAATAAGGATTATAATTTGGAGATTTTATGCACAATTACGTTTATATTTATCAACAGTAAACAATACGAATAATTGAATTTAATTTTAATTTTTTTAGTATGGTTGATTCACAAATGATGAATAAAATTTATAAATTTATATTTAGTATGTTTATTTTAATTTTTAATGTGGTATAATTCGCAGGCTAAAAGCCCCATTCTATTTTCAGGATTTAACAAGGCCCGTTCAAGCCCACCTTTTATGCTCGTTATTTTAAGCAACAACCATCCCTTTACAATCTCCGTAACCTGTCGGTGTTTTATTTATTTATTTCTTTGCAATCAAACGTACTTAGATTGCAATATTCTATAAATTACAGAAATTGAGTTTGCTTTCGAATTGCAATATGTTGTAAAGGAAAACATTTCCATGTCTAAAAGTTAATGTAACATGATTCGTATATTGATAGTTTTTGTTGTCAAAAAATAATTACTTTTCAATTTAGAGTTAATATTTTGGAATTTAATTTCTATAAAATCTACTATAAACTTAGGGGTGTAAATGAACAGAGCGTTCGATGAATTGTTTGTGAACCGTTCGTATAACATTCGTTTATGTTTGTTAGTTAAGCTAAATAAGCGAACATGAAAAAAAAGTTTATGTTCATTTAATAAACGAACGAACACGAAAAGAGATGTGTTCAATTCGTTTATGTTCACGAATAAACTCGTTTATCATCTCGTTCATTTATGTTCATGAGCAAACTCGATTACCCGATTCTCCTTTTCGTTTTATTTTTTACATTTTATATATCCGTGAAGAAAATGATTAAATAGAACACATGATAAAATTTGCATTTTAAACTATGAATTTTAAGGAGTTTAAGCACCGATGACGTAATTTTATCATTTTTTTTCTTTAGCTTGCAAATGAAATAAAAAATACAATATATAAACGAACGATAAACAAACATTAAAACAACGCTAAACGAACACTAAATGAACGCTAAACGAACATGTTCTTGAACACGTTCGAGAACATATAAACGAACACGCTCACGATTATTAAACAAACGCTAAATGAACATGTTCATGAACATATAAACGAACGCGCTTGCTAACATTGTTAGATTCGAATGGAATGGTCCTAGGAGGAATGGCTAGATAGATCGGACCCCAATACGACGGAATCTACGGAAGTTTATGCGTTTTCACAGGGTGTACGACTTGCTGTCGAGAATGGATGGAGCAATGTCATAATCGAAGGAGAAGCTATCTCGGTGGTGAATAGACTGGCCAACAGAAGTCTGAACAAGACCCAGGACCTCTCTACAATCGGATTGTTGCTCAATGAGGGCTCACTCCCTCCTCGATGCTAATTCTTCTTTCAAAGTTCACTATGTTTGTAGGAAAGCAAATAGAGCAGCACACACGCTGGCTCAATGGGCTTTATCGAACCCCAATCCAATTTGGTTTTTTCGGACGAACCTGAATGTATTAAGCAAATTGTCATCATTGATGCTATTGGAATATAAGTTCTTAGTTTCCTAAAAAAAAATGAACATGTTCGTGAACGATATATAAACGAACATGAACATGATATTGAAAATTTAAACGAACACGAACATAATATTGTTCGTTCAAACTCGGTTGATTTACACCCCTATATAAACTGTAGTCCAGATTTCAGGACTCAAGATAGTTTAAAGAATGTCTTATTTGAATTATAAAAGTATACCATACAAAATTGATTTTATAAAAACTGTCACCATTTACAGTTAAAAAAAGCTTAATTAAATATCCTTAAATTTCTAATAACTTTCTCAGGTAGAATTATTTATTTTGACTCTTCCACAGTTCATGCATTTTAGATACACAGTTGGGAATGCAATGCAAGAGTGAGCTTTGACAGATTGAAAAGAAAAACACAACATATATTCTGGTAACTTAAAGTGGATATAATGAATACATGAATTGATATCATAATATCTTAAAATTATAATCGATTGCGTTTCAATTTGATTGATAATGTTATTATAATACGTCAATTTGAACGTGTTTTTGTATATATTATATGAGTAAAAATGATATAATTAGTTTAAACAACGTAAAAAAAATATTCTAAAATGGTCTGATAAAAGGCATTGGCATTGAACCAAAAGTGTGAAACTCACAAGCTTAACAGGGCCCTGATTTTAGTGGGAGGGGTGTGGCCTGTGGGGTCAAACCCTACACTTGCGATTACATTTTCATCTTTCCATAGCTTCATCACATCCTCGGTTCAAATTTTCGATTTCGTTTAATAGCTTAAATAATATAACAGAATTTCATCAAACCCCTGAAATCAAATCAAATCTTGTCTGATTCTGCCACCAGCAACCATGATTTTGCCTGTCTTTTGTCATAGTTTAGAGTCTTCAAGTCCAGTATATTTGTGAAACTGACATTTCCATCATTTCATGAAAAATATCTGTAACAGCTCCTAGAGCGTCACATGAAATAGTTTAAGGGAAACACTCCCATATTCTTTTTTTTAATCATGTTTAGCCTAGGCTACCATAAAACAGCACGATCCGTTGGACAAAGCTAAGCCAACATTGATTGTTTTTAGACTAACTTTCTATTTAAAAACTTTAAGACGTTCTTGTTTTAAGCTAACGACCCCATTCGATGTTGGAGTATAGATAAAGGAATTGTTGTAATTTTTGAAGACTCGGGTTCGAGCACCAAAGGTGTCAGGAGTGTGAACATTCAATGTCGAAAGATTGAGGGTTAAATAGATACTACCTTGTACTTACTCCAGATTAATAAAAAAATCATTATAATTTGATCTTAATTATTCATTTAATAATTCTAAATCAATATAAAACTATATGTCCTGCATATAAATATTTTTTAACTGACTAAACGTTCCAATAAACTTAATTTTTGTAAGGTCGTGCATATAAATATTTTTTGAAACGTTCAAATAGAAATTCATATACTCTAATTCTTTATAATTAATCTAAAATTTTCATTATTATTTTTAATTTTGTAATATAAATTATAAATTTTTTTATAAAATAAATATATTTAATTTTTATTACAAATGTATGTTATATTTTATACTATAATCAATATGTTTTTATAAAATATATGTAGTTAATAATAACGTGAATTTAGTTTAATAATTTATTCTCAATTAGGGTGTATTGATTATGTGTTAGGGAATTAGTCACGGAGGTATTGGAGCTTTTTTTTTCTCTCAATAGTTTGAGTGATTATAAGATAATATATACTCATAGAATTCTTCAGCTTACTAAAAAACAAATGCACATCGCAGATACAATTACTCGAGTTAAAAATATCTAAAAAGAATAATACTATCTTTTACCACTGGTGTTTCAATGAGTTCTATTAGAGTTAAATCTTAAGTTTAGAAATATTTCTCTTATTCTTGGATCAAAGAAGGTGATGAATGATGACATGTGCCATTACAATAAGTTTAGTGATTCTTGGATCAAATAAGGTGATGAATGATGACATGTGCCATCGCAATGAAAAGAGTATTTTTGTGGGTTTAGTGACTAAATTGAAAAGATATATTTAAAATGGACAAAATGAAAACATATTAGAAGTTAGATAGCGAGTGATGTAGTTTAGCCTAAATTATGGAGTAATAGTTTAAGTCATAAGGATGAAAATACTGGCCACCAGCTTTTCTGTCCGCTTTATAATAAAGCGAAAGCTTAGCAAAGCCAAAGAATAAAAAAGAAGAAAGGCAAGGCAGGAAACGAATGGGAATCACAGCAACCCCACCCTTGGTATAAAATTTTTCTTTCAATGCCATACACTCAAAGTTTCTTCGTCCTTTTCTGAGAAGGCAAACAAGGGGATGGAGAGAGACTGTTGATTATGATTTTAACAACCCAAAAGACCTGTTTGGTTGAGTGCATGAACAAAGGAAACTCAGCAAAGTGATAGAGAGGAAGTTAAAAGGAAAAGAAAAAAGTTTTTCAGAAAAAGAAAAAAGTTTTTCTTCTTTTCTTATTCTTTATTTGTTGTGTATCTGTGGGGTTGAGCATCTTTTTTTGGAGGATCATAGAGTCGTATGAAAATTGAAGTAGCAAGCTCATCATCAACAACAATTAAGCAAATAAATGATGGCAGCTGGAAACCCTAGCTGGTGGAGCATGAATCCACAACCGCAACAGCATTCTTCTAATTTGTTTACTGCTCCAATACCCCCTTCTCTCCTATCTCCTCAGTATGTCGTTGGATCTTCTACAACTCTTCTTCCTAATTCTTTGCCTGATCATCATTTCCAAGAGCTTCCCGTACAGTCATGGAGCCAACTACTCCTGTGAGCTCTCCCCCACTTCATCTCTACTTTTTTTCATGCTACTCTTCTACTGTTCCTCTCTCTTTATCCATAAATTTTACTTTTGGGACCCTTAACTTTTTAAAATACTATTCATATATAATCTCAACTTCTGGTTTTCACGATAGTTATTCATAATATAGCTTTCTCTTGTACATATATAGGTTCATGTTCAACTGATAAAGTAATAATTGTGGTTTATGGGTTATTCTTTTGGTGATTAGGGGAGGAGTATCCGGGGAAGAAGAAAGGTTTGGGACAAGTCATTATCAGCCCAAAAAGTTGGAAATTTGGGAAAGCCAAATCCTAAGCCCATCTCCAAGGGTTCCTTTGGTTGTTGACGTAAAGCAAGAGATTACTCAAAATAGCAACCTCTTGGGTCATAGTAATGATGAATTTCAAGCATCTGCGGCTGCTTGGTCCCAAATAATGCCAGTTTCCCCTCCCAGATCTTGCATTACTAACTTAAGTAGTAATAATATATTAGAATTGACTTACCACAAGGCGGCAGATCTTGAAACGACTGTTAATCAACCTGGCTTAAATCATTCTTCTGAGGTAAGAAAGAGAAAACAACCCAAACCCATGAATCCCATACCTTTTTTTCTTTCTGATCTTGCATTTATTTGACTGATAAAACTTGCATTTTCGTGTGTGTGTGTGTATTGGCAATAGTGTAATAGCATAGCCACAGGTCGGGTATGCAAGAAGGCTAGGGTTCAGCCATCTTCAAGTTCAAGCCAACCACTTTTAAAGGTAAGCAGTGCACATAGAATCTTTCTTTGTTGCTCTCTCGATATCACTTTATGTCATTCTTGATTGTCTACTTCCAAGCATGTATTATTCTTTTTCAGCTATTACTAGCTACCCATGTTATCGAAAGGCCAAAGCAAACTAAGTTACATTTATGAGTTTTTGTTCAGATTTTGTTCTGCATTATTGTTACATATATTTCTGCTTAATCCTTCCAGGTGAGAAAGGAGAAGCTGGGAGACAGAATAACAACACTTCACCAGTTAGTTTCCCCATTTGGAAAGGTAAGCAACAAGTATTCCTTTAAACCTTCTTCATCAATAAAACCACAAAAACTTAACTAAATACCAAGCAGTTAGTACAGATTACAGAAAAAAACAGTTGTATTTTATGATAAAACCCATAAAGGAATTGCTTTACTGTCTTTGTTTGTTTTAGGGCTTCTCTTTTTAACATTTAAGAAGGGTCTGAAAGATGATTTGGTGGATTGTGTGCTCTTTTTTTTTGCAGACCGACACAGCTTCTGTTTTGTTAGAAGTTATTGGGTATGTCAGATTCCTTCAGGATCAAATTGAGGTGATGTTTCTTCCACATCTTTTTTTCTTTTATTTAAAAAAAAAAAGCTTCTCTCTGCCCTAGTCCCAAGCAGCTCAGAAATCAGTGAGAGGGAAAGCATGTTGTTTTCAAGTTTCAATAATTCATGCTTTTTCCCTGCAAAATAACATATTTATTCTCTACTCATGGAAGTCATAAAAATAATAATAATTCCTTTTTCCCCCACTTTAAACGCAGGCTCTTAGCTCCCCTTACTTGGGTACTGCATCTCCAAACGTGAGGAACCAACAAACTGTGAGTACCCATAAACTATTTCCCCAAAGCATTCAATATATAATTATTTACATGTACCATGGTAACCGGTAAGGTGATACACTAATAAAAAAAGTTCCGATTTTAAAAATGAAAAAGGAGTTGAATTAAACGTAGTTATAATTAATGCTTTTTCCCCTTTCTCTTTTCCATTTCCATTCTACTGTTTAAGAAAAGTATTCATCATCATTGCAGCTATCATAGTGTTTTCAATTTTCCTATATGATAATATTATACAGGATAAGGCGAAGAACTTGAGGAGTAGAGGGCTGTGCTTGGTTCCTGTATCATACACTACTCATCATGCTGAAGCCGACAACGATGGTGCTCAGTACTGGCCCCCAGCATTCGGGGGCGGCGGATTTTAAAAGTAGTAGATTTTCAGCATCAAACTTTGGAAGAATGGAATGGTATAACATAATGAGCAGTCGATCTGCTGAAAATCTTAAAACGCCGATTGCTCACCATGCTATACCATTGCATTCTTTTTCTAGCTCCACTTTCTGAATGTGCAATGCTTATGTTTACTGTTTTGTACCCTATTCTTTTAATAATTCATTTAGGGTACATTGTAATTTTAAATTACGAATTTATCATCCGCTTCGTTTCCGAATATAATTTCTTTTTTTTTTATGGAAGAAAGTGCAAAACAAGTTTCAAACGCACCATCCCATTCCATTCAACTTTTTTGTTTTTTGGCTGTTATTTGTTGAGGCTTGAGGAGGGAGCTTTCCATACATACTCAAATGGAGATCATTAGGCAATTACAGTGGCAGACCAGTCATGTGGTGAAGCTGACACCAATACGCCGAAAGGGACTCCATCACCATAGCTTTGTTGGTGTCTTAATACATCACTTTTTTGGTTGGATAACACACGGAATCTCAATCAAGTGAAATTGGGGCCACCCACGCCCTCGTAATCCCGACGTTGTTTCTTACATCACCATTCCTTTTGCTGTATTTGTAAACAAACGGACGCGGTTAGATCATTTGGGCCCAATGTTTTAAAATCATGTGGAAGACCCACTGGCCCTCGGCCGAAGCCCCAACATACAACTTGGATCATATGAATTATTTTTAAAATGATTATTTTTAAATTTAATCATTAAAATTTACTAAAATATCAAATTCATTTTTTCTTACAATTTTGACTATAATTCTGGAATAGTTTTAAAAAACATTTTAATGAATTTTAAGCTTTTTTTCTTCCAACCCACATATTATCATTTATCATTGTCACTTCAAATTTTCATTATTATCGAATTTCAATAATAACTCAGATATCTAAACAATTTTCTCTTTCTTCCCCCTATTTTGTCAATTTTATTTCGTTTCTAATGGAAATACTCACATCCTATTTCATTTTTCTATTTTGTTAACTCTTCTCTTTCTCCGCATCATAATTTATTGTTGCTATGAACATCGGGGAGTGCACTTCAAATAAAGTTAATAAATGATGTGACTGATTAAAAATGTTACAGGTTAACAGTGGAACACAAAATATTATAACATGTAACTAGAAAATTATCAATTGTGGTAATATAATAGGTTGCTCCTAAAATGTTATAAACGTAAAAAAATAAGTTATAAATGTTAAATGTTATTAGTATTTTAACAATTTAGGTTGCGCCTAAAATGATATAAACGATAAGAAAATTGATTATAAATGATGAATGTTATGAATATTATTAACATTTTAGGTTGCGCCTAAAATATTATTAGAGTTTAAGTTGATGGAGCTTTAAATCTTCTCACGATAACAAAATAACTTAAAAGTTGAAAAATATTATGGATATCTATAAAAAAAATTCATTTGCATAAAAAATGTTATGTTTCGCTAAGAAAGTAGGTTGCGATTTGGAATGTTAATATTTTTATTATAAAATTGAAAATATCGATATTTTCCCACAAATATTGATACTTTCGAATTAAAAAATATAAAAACTAATAAGGTTGCAAAGTATCGATACATATATTATGATGTTCGATACTTTTTCATTTATATCGATACTTAACTCTGATATTTGTGGAAAAGTTCGATACTTTACAACCTTCCCATATTCCATTTTTTTTTAAATTTGAAAGTATCAATATTTGTGGAAAAATATCGATACTTTGCATCATTCTCATTTTCCATTTTTTTAATTCAAAAGTATTGATACTTGTGGAAAAGTATGGATACTTTGTAGTCTTCTCATTTTCCATGTTTTTTTAAAATTTGAAAGTATCGATACTAGTAGAAAAGTATCGATACTTTCAAATTTTTTATAATAAAAATATTAACATTACAGATCACAATTTACTTTCGTGAAACATTCTTAAGTGAAATCGGATTTGTTTTATAGATATTCATAACATTTTCAGTTTTTAACTTATTTTGTTATCTTGAAAATGTCTAAGGCTTCATCAACTTAAACTTCGGTAATATTTAGGCGCAACCGATTTTATTACAAAAAAACTTAACATTCCATATCACAACATACATTCTTAGTGAATCATAACTTTTTTTGGCGCAACCGAATTTCTCATAGATATTCAATAACATTTTCAACTTAACTTATTTTGTTATCGTTGGAAAGTCTAAGGCCTCATTAACTTAAACTCTTCTAACATTTTAGGTGCAACCTAAAATATTAAAATATTATCAATATTTACCGTTTATAACATTTTAGGTACAACCTGTTATGTTACTACATTGATAACTTTTTTGTTCCGCATTTAACTTGTAAGATAAGTTTCCCGATTAAACTATTTTAAGTAATTTTAAAATAGTTATAATCTAATATACTACATATAAGTCAACATTTCTAGTCGCGCTAAATTAGTTTTGTTAAAAAAACTCAAATTTCCGGTGACATTGTTTTTTAACCTTATATTTGTTTGTCTTTTCTTAGACAATCGCATGCCCATCTCCCTTCCTCTAGCAACATCTATAGTTAAATTTGACTACAATAATTTAAAAATTAAAACCAAAAGTAAATTCTATTTTGATATATTTATGTCATTCATCGTTTATTCTACGTGAGCTCAAGATAGGTTTTTTTTATGTAATTTCACTACTCATATGAAACATTAATGATAGCAAACTTAGAAATTGAAAGAATTTGTAACCCCTAGACCTGGCCTAGAAGTTACGGCCAAATCTCGGAGACCACAACAACATTTCAATTGAACAGAAGTCAAGAAATCTCATATCTTAACATGCATCATCAATAATATGACAAAATCCATGAGTTCATAGTATATAAAATACCACGAGTTCTAAATCCAAAACAAATAAAGTGATTTAACCCGAAATTCCCATAAATAAATAAGTAGTTAACGGGAAAAGAAAAATGATGAAAAGTCTGAAAATATATCTATACAATGTCCGAAAGAAAATGGCTACTAACGATCCTCTAACTACCGATTCGTAGTTCTAAAAGTTTGAGTAATATGAAAAGACATAAACTAGAAAGTGAGCTATGAAGCTCAATGTGTCTAAAATAAAATCGTTATCGCAGTATATATATATATATATATATAACACAATTAAAGTGTAACAATAAATCAAAATTTTGTTTTCAGAATTTAGCATCAATAACACACAACTTTACATTTTGCCGCAGATAACAGAATGAGGATGTTCCCTTTAAAAAGGATCCCAATCGAAAACAAAAATCAGGATGTAAATTTTGCCCTCAAATGAGGATACCCAACAGAAACAGAACAGAGATATAATCTCATACAAAAACAGAACGGAGAATAAATCCCATGCAGAGTCAGAACATGGAATAAATCCCACGCAGAGTCAAAACGGGGAATAAATTCCATGCATAATCGAGAATACATCAATGAGCAGATCATGAATGATGTAACATTATTCAAAATCATAAATATCACAAATAATTGTAACCAAATTTCAAACATGCTTTAGTTAGTAATATTAAACATAACAACATAACATATTAAAGAATCGAACGGTTAAAGAAGACACACCTATAATAGCTAAATAACACTGACTAAGCCTTACACTTCCCCACAGTCAGTCATTATAGGTCCTACAGAGTGGGGATGTGTATCTCGAGATGAGCAAAATTAAACTGAGCAGAATGAGAGTGATCAGGGTTCACAAGAGAGCGGTATGAAGATATGGGAGTACCTTTAGAAAATAACACTAAAAAGTAAGTCCAAAATCTCACAATTTACTTAACATAATTATGAATTCAAACGATAAATGACGTAAAACAAGGCTTTTGGGTTAGAATTTGGCAAAGTAGACCTCGAAAGCAGACTTAGGACATCGAAAAACATAGAGATAGATGTCTTAAAAAAAAGTCAACTATCAACGGGTCAGGTCGATCAATAGGTCTGGTTGGTCAATGGGTCAGATAACCAGTCCAGCCGTTTCGATCCAAAGGTAACCTGCATTGCCATGGTAGTTTCAGCCATTGTCGAGAGCGCAAGACGAAGGGAAGCAATTAGGGTCGGGTTTCAAAACAACCGTCAAGCAATTGTGAAAATGTCTGCTATGTGGCTTGTGCCACAGTTTTACTCGAATGGCTTAGCTGAGGCTTTCACTGCAATAGGGCAGACGGAGTTCTTCTATTCCGAGTTTTGCCCAAGAGTATGTCGAGCATTGCTGCTGCCCTCTTCGGTCTGGGGTTGGCAGTGGCAAATATACTAGCTAGTGCTGTTGTGAGCATCATCGACGACATCACTTCAAAAGGCGGTAATGACAGCTGGGTCTCAACTAACATAAACAAAGGTCGCATTGACAACTACTACCGGGTTCTTTCCACAATGAGTTTCATCAATCTATTTTATTACTTCCTCTGTTCTTGGGCTTATGGACCGTCCGGTCGACAAGTGACAAAGGATAAGTCCTTGCCGGGAAGATGAGTTGTCACCGAAGAGGATTATAGATGACTACACCGATCAGTAATTGTTAGTTTGACGAGTGTTTCGGAATTACCATTGCAGTTCAAATTTGGCTACATATAAATATATAGTGTTGGTGTTTACTGTTTAGTAAGTAGGAAATACAGTTTTTGAAACCATACAGAATCTTTTACTTGTCTGAATTTCTTCCCTAACTCTGCCATATGCCATTATTTAGCTTCTTTTCCATTCTATTTATCTTATACAGAATCATTTCATTGCATATTTCACCTTCTCTAAAGGCGAGCAATTTTGTGAGTTTGATATTTCTTATCTAAATTATGCAATTAACTAGTTTAAATTCATATTTTCATTTTTTTCTTTGATAGAAGCTACTAATTTTATTAAAGAAGAAAATATTTCAAATTACAATGGAGAATTATAATCATAATTATAAATTAAACACAAAATTAAGATATTTTTCCTAAAAAAAATTAACACAAAATTAACAATTTAAAAACACATAAGGACCATACAAGGAAAAATTAAGAAAGCCCAACCAAACTCAGAAAAAATGAAAGATACAAACAGGTCTGATTGTATCAACAAATAAATCGCAAAAGTCAATCAATCTATTGAAAGATCATAGATAAAACTGCAAATCAGAGTCGAGCGATATGAAAAAACTATTCACGAA